CCTGCGGTCCCCTGCGCGCGCCCCCCGCGTCCCGGCTCGCAGGAGGGGCAGGCCGTGCCGCTCCCCCACCCCTCCCGCCGCCGCGGGCTTTGGGGCCCCCGGTGGGGAGCAAGGGGCTGGTGAGCCGAGGAGCAGGGGTGTGGCCAGCGGGGGCCCTGGGGAGTGAGTCACACACACACTCTGCTCGCCCAGTCCCGGGGCCCAACACGGTCCGTCCCAAGGCCGAGCTACTGCACAGCCCGCCCGAAGAAGAGTGTCCCGGGGTCTGGCATGAGGACCGTGGGGAGGGGCTGCAGCCGGGTTCTGTGGTGCGGGCGGTAAGCATGCTCTGGGGACACTCCCCCCCCTGGAGAGATGGGTGGGCTTGGAGTCAGGACTAGCCCTGGCTGGCACACAACCAGCTCCCCAGGCCCGCCTGTACCTGCTATGAGCTGCCCAAGGGGCCTGGCTTCTTCCTCCTGGCAGCCCCTCACTCGGGGCCTCACACAGCCAGCCATGCAGAGCTCATTTCAGCTTTCCACTCCCTCGGGCCCCCCTTGGCAGAGTTTGTCAGGTTCTTGGGGGATCCTTGTGTCCTTTGGACTTAGTGTTCAGGCTGTGCTTCCCAGGCCTGTCTCCTGGCCTGAGCTGCCCCTGGGCCCTGACCCCATGGGGCTGGTGGCTCCAGTCGTCCCCAGGACCAGCCCTGGATAGAAATGGCATTTCCTCTTGGCCAGGCTACAGCTGTTTTTGTTGTCTGAGTTCTCAAGCGCTTCCTCTGGGGATGGCAGGGAGGGTAACCAGACTCCTAGGGACCCCTGCTCTCCCTCCCAGCCACTCACCCCTCTTCCCCTGTCTCTTTGATCTTCTTCCTGTGCTGGTCCGGCCTCCGTTGCCTGTCCCCAGGACAGAATGACCGAGAACATGAAGGAGTGCTTGGCCCACACCAAGGCGACTGTAGGGGACATGGTGACAGTAGTGAAGACAGAGGTCTGCTCACCACTCCGGGACCAGGAGTATGGCCAGCCCTGGTGAGGCCCCTGGGTGGTGGTGACTTGAGGAGGGAAGGGTGGGTGGCTGGGCTGGATTGGTTGGGGATCCAGGGGATGGCCACCTTCCTTCCTGGGCAGCTCCTGGGGTCAGAGGTGAGCAGGCACTAGATGAACTTGGGCAGAGTTGCTCAGGGCCCAACTCTCAGGAATTCACATGCTCCCCCACTCCTGCAGCGGACAAGCCGCCTGCTGGAGTTCTTTGCCCATCTGCAACCCCCCTGCCTCCTGGACAGGTGTCCAGCCTGTCTTCCTCCTGTACTGTCTCTGATGGCTTCTTTGCTTTTCTTCTGTGGGCCCTTGCCCTGGCCAGCTCTAGGAGACCGGAGCCCGCTTCCATGGAAGTTGAACCCAAGAAGCTGAAGGGAAAGCGTGACCTCATTGTGACCAAAAGCTTCCAGCAAGTGGACTTCTGGTGTAAGTGGAGTTGAGGCTCTAGGAGACTCTTCCCTTCACCCCATACCCCACCTGCCCCTGGTCTGGAAATATTGTGCCAGAGTTCCAATGAGAGGCATTCACCCAGGCACACCAGGGTTCAGCAGCCTCTCTTAGGTCTTAAAGCCCACAGATGTACAGTGGCATTTCCAGCTCAGGCCTTTGGCCCCAGAGCCATTTTTTTTTTTACTTGAGACAAAAGCCTTGACATTGGCAGTGTGTCCTTCAACCCCCCAGGGAGGATCATGGGTTATTGCTGCTGATGGCCCTGGGCCTGCAGCTGGCTGAGCAGATCTAGGGCTAGGAGGCCTGAGCTACATGCAGTGTGGTTTCCATTGCTCTAAGTGGTCCTCGGCATGGCCTCCGGTAATTTTCTCAGCCACTGCGGGACGTCTGACGTGGCACCACCACTGAACTTTTCCTCTTCTTCACATCCCTCCAGTCTGTGAGTCCTGCCAAGAGTACTTCGTGGATGAGTGCCCGAGCCACGGTCCCCCCGTGTTTGTGTCTGACACGCCAGTGCCTGTGGGCATCCCGGATCGGGCAGCCCTCACCATTCCACAGGGCATGGAGGTGGTAAAGGAACCTGGTGGGGAGAGCGATGTGCGGTGTATAAATGAGGTCGTCCCCAAGGGCCACATCTTTGGCCCCTATGAGGGGCAGATCTCTACCCAGGACAAGTCAGCTGGCTTCTTCTCGTGGTTGGTGAGTGTCCCCTGTATTATTCCTTGGGAGAGGTTGATAAGGGACTTGGGGGGAAACCAGCAGGGGATAATTGGTGCCCACACAAGTGCTCCTCTGGGGTTACCTATGGCTATATGGATGATGGATTTTGCTGTCCCCTTGCCCCAGCCATGTGGTCTTTGTCTTTTGGTGTCCAACGGCCATGCTAAGGGATCCCACCTCGGTAGCAAGCAGGTTAGTCATCACCAGGTAGAACTTAAGGCTCATTTTCCCAAGTATCCTTGTGTGTGCTTGTGCATGTGGGTATGCCTCTGTGTGTGTGTGTGTGTGTGTGTGTGTGTGTGTGTGTGTGTGTGTGTGTGTACACCCATGCATGTGCATCTGGCTGTCCATTCAGTAGTATTTACAAAGAGCTCAGCCAACCCCTCTTCCAAAGTGGAAGATTTGTAGCTGGGGGCTGCAGGGCCATAGAACATGATATTCGGCTCAGAAAATGGGCATGGCGGGTGCTGGAGGGGAGGCTTTCCACAAGACAGACATGGTTCCCATTCTTGGGAAGACAAACATTGAACAAGCATGTGCAAGTGGTTATTGACACCCGAGAGGGGGCACAGCATACTCTGGGACACTGCTTGTGGTGCCTGGAACCTGCATCCGGAATGTCCGCGAGCTTTGTTGTTCACTGTCTAATGACTTTGAACGTGTTACTTTCTTCTCTGGGCCTGTTCTGTGGCACAGGGTTAATGAGAGCTGCTGGTGAAGTTTCCCGTTGGCCTTGCACCGCTTTTGGGAGGGCGATTGCTAAGTGACTAAGACACTTATCATTGCTTGATATTACTGCCGTTGGCCTGTGTGGTGGTTTGAATAGGAATGGCCCCCATAGACAGATGGGTTTGAGTGTTTGGCCCATAGGGAATGGCATTATTAGGGGGTGTGACCTTGTTGGAGGAAGTGTGTCACTGTGGGGGCAGGCGTTGAGGTCTCCTATGTTCAAGCTGTACCCTGCGTGGCACAGTCTCCTGCTTCCTGGGGATCAAGATGCAGAACTCTCAGCTCCTTCTCCAGCACCATGTCTGTCTGCATGTTGCCATGCTTCTTGACATGATAGTAGACTGAACTTCTGAAACTGTAAGCCAGCCCCAATTAGATGTTTTCTTCTATAAGAGTTGCTGTGGTCATGGCATCTCTTCACAGCCGTAGAAACCCTAACTAAGGCAGCCTGGTTGGGTTCCTTCAGTCTAAGGCTTGGAGAATGAATCACAACTGGTCTTGGAAGGGGGCTAGAACTTCATTCCATGCAGACAGAAGGTATAGGGAAGAAGTCTGCAGTGGTGGCATTGGAAGCTAGCAGAGGTGGTGTGGGATCATTTCCCAGGCCCAAGGACTGAGGGAAGCTGGGGATGTGGCCGAGCAGAAGTGTGGCTAGGTCAGGTTGTGGCACCGGAAGTCTTGGCCTCAGGAAGGAGGCTGGGGAGAGGGTTCATGTGAGATGAGTATGGTGAAGGCTTGAGCTGAGGTCTGGAGGTGGGCGACTCTGAGAGATTCAGGAGGGAGAGCCCTGGGGTAGGTGAAGTGGGCAGAGTGCCAAAGTGAGGAGCAGGGGCTTTCAAAAACATGAGGAGGGATTCCTGGGACGGCTCATGGAGGAGGGGCAGGGGGGAGGGGTGTCATGGGATGGTAGAGGAAAGCAGCAGGCCCATTCATACCACATCTCTGCCTCTCCCTGAGCATCTCCTTGGTGCCAGGCCCAGTGGCAGGACTGATCAGATGTGAGTTGTCCTACCTGCATGGGCAGGAGATGGAACTAACCAAAAAACACGGAAAATACACATAAAACTACTGGCAGGTGTTGGTGAAATAAGAAGCTGAGAGAAAGAAAAGAGCCAGGGAACCCATGTGGCCAGAGGTCAGACGAGGCCTCCTGACACTGAGCTGGGGTTGAAGGAGGAGCGTGGCCACCTGTGTTAGTCAGGGTTCTCCAGAGTAACAGAATTTATAGAATTTACAGAATGAATGAATATAGAATTAGTCTAGATGGATGGATGGATGGATGGATGGATGGATGGATGGATGGATGGATGGATGGATGGATGGATGGGTGGATGGGTGGATGGATGGGTGGGTGGGTAGGTGGGTGGATGGGTGGGTGTCTTAGCTGGACATCTATATATGTCTTATAAGCTGGATGTCTTAGCTGGTCTTCAGTGTGTGCCAGGTCCTAAAGTAAGTAGTAGGCTCTAATGCCGGTGACTTGCTGGCAAGGCCAGGGCTAG